TCCAGCTCGCCGCGCTCCCGCAGCTTCAGCCAATCGAAGGCCGGCGGCGAGGCGCGAGCCGGTGTTTCCTCCAATCGGCGCTTCGTGGGCGGGGCCTMGSTGCCGGCGGGGCGGGGCGGGCGGARCAGGACGGCTATGGCGGCGCTGCCGGTGCCGCTGCTGGGGCTGGTGTTGCTGCTGCTAGCGGGATGTGGCGGGCCCGGGGCCGCGGGACAGAGGCGGAAGGAGGTGAGACTCGCTGGGAGCCTCCGCGGCGTGCTGGGGCGGGTTCTTGCTGAGCGGGCTGAGGGCAGGACCGGCCAGGGCCCGGTGGGGTGGCCTGGCCTCACTTCACCTCGGTCCTCACCCGGAGGTTTGGCCGCCTCAGAGGGGAACTCGCTGGAAGGGAAGATCTTTGTTTCCAGGTTCTTAATTTCTTGTTAGGAGCACTGTAGGAATGTTGTCTTCCTACTGTAGRGGATTTTCGGAGGGGAGGGTGGGTAGTCTTTGGTTATATTCACTAAGGTGCAGCTTACTTCCACACACGTGATCTGTTGAGTTTGGATAAGTCCTTCTATGTAAGTGTTTATATTTGTGGCAGTTTTAGGTCAAGGAACAGTAATTTATTTTAATTTTCATGGTGGGGTTCTTGSGGCCGTCCTGTGCAGGGYCAGGAGTTGGACTTTGATGTKCCTACTGGCTCTCTTCCAACTCAGGGTATACTATGACGATTTCCTCTAACACATTTATCTGAAAAAGTATGTTAATATGTAGAGGAGTGYTTGATGACAAATGTAACATTTGGGAGTTTGTCAAATTAATGCCTTTTCTTGTAATGTTATAGAATCGMTTGTGTCCTGTTTAAGGAATATTTTAGTATTGAGCACTCCTGARTTCTTCAAATATGTTCTGAATTCAGGGTTTTTTTTTTCCAGCAGTGCTGAAGAGATGTTGAGCTCACTTCCACAGACCTTCCATCTCTGGTGTTGATTTCATTGACACAAGTTTTGAAAACTGAAACAATTTGTTGTTTAGTATTGAATAAATGCTGTAGAGGGGWTGGGAGCAGTTTGTACAACTGAAAGAAATCCTGCAATTAGCAGTGTGAGGAAGGGCYGGTGAGTCTTCACCAGCCTGTGTCTGGCTAAGTGCTTAAAGCTGTGTGTRTTACCAGGTGGTTAAAGTTAATGAATTATGTTAACATGACTGTCAAAAGCTTCTGTGAATGYTTTCCCCAAATCTTACTGAAGTATCACATCACCTGGTTGGTGTTGTCGTGAGATGCAGTGCAGATATTTGTTGTGCCAAATTAGAAACCTTTAAGATTGTACTGTGACACTGGAAAAAAAAACCCAACAATGGTGCTCTGACTTGATTTTCAGATGGTGTTATCAGAAAAAGTGAACCAGCTGATGGAGTGGGCCAGTAAAAGATCCGTTATCCGAATGAATGGAGACAAATTCCGACGCCTTGTGAAGGCACCTCCCAGAAACTATTCAGTGATTGTGATGTTCACTGCTCTTCAGCCTCACAGACAGTGTGTTGTGTGCAAGTATGARCTCCATTTAGTCCTAAATTAGAGCTTGAAAGTCATCTTATGCTTTGTAGGAAATTAAATTTAAGGATATGGTTGACCTTTCACATACATGGGAGGAAAATATATGGGCAAATAATAATAGGATTGTCTTAGCAGTTTAATGTGTGGGAATATGTGTGTAATGTGTATGTGAGAAAACAACATAATCCTTTTATCTCYCTCCTTAAATAAACCCTGCTGTGCAGAAACAGTGTTTGCTCTGATGGGCTTCTGGAGAAAGACACAGTGAAAGTTCAGCTGTCCTAGCATGAACTACTGAATAAATGTTTGTAGAATTATTGCTGGCCATGCAGCTTAAATGTTGCTCTTAATTAATATGTATACATATTAATTAATATTAATTAATTAATAAGCATGTATTAATATGCTTACAATTATAATATCCTTAACCAAATTATGGTTGTCCTGTAGTAATCCAGAGGTGGCAGAGGTCTGTGAGGATGATTTTAATACCTGGTCCGTTGAAATTACTTGTTTCCAGCCCCCTGATGTGGAAAACAGGGCACATCTGGCCATGTTTTGGTGCCCTGTGGATTGGTAAATCATGAGCAGCTGGGATCCATTTCACCTTTCAATTAGAAATTATGTCTGCTTRTGTATGTAGRSTCAACAAATCTTGCCCTTGTATTTAGAAAAGCRGCAGTGCCAAATGATTGACCTGATGGTAGATGAGTGTTTGGGCTTAAGTAATTTCATTAACACTTAAACTTTTTTTTTTTTTAGCCCTAGAAAATGAATAGGATGCACCCATTGGGGTGGGTGGACATAGCTCCTTCAGGTGCTTTATAACTCATGTTGTGGACAAATCCATAATACAGCATCTCACTTGGTGTGTTTTTCAGGCAAGCTGATGAAGAATACCAGATTCTGGCAAAYTCCTGGAGGTATTCCAGTGCATTTACCAACAAGATTTTTTTTGCTATGGTAGATTTTGATGAAGGCTCMGATGTGTTTCAGATGGTAATGTCTTTTTCTCTTCTAACATTGTTTTTAWCTTGGGTTTTGGGCAAGAAGGTAAAGATAGTACAAAATTTAGTGTTACAGCAAATAAAGGAATGAAAGGTTAAAATCTGCCACTCTTGGAAGAAAGATGGCCTGAGCCTATTGGTAGGAATATTAACAGAACTGACAGATGTGGAATAAGGTACAAGGGGTGAATTGGTTTCTTTGAGTTTTTTCCCTGAGTTTATCTCCTGCAATAACTTATGGTGTAAATCTTAATGGAATTCTTCTGTGGTACGTGAAGAGGCAAGATAGAAAGTACTTATATCATTAGTAACAGCTACTGCAATTTTTAGATTACTAGAGAAAGATAGATGAGTTTCTGGTATGGGTTAACTAATTTCTTTTCAAGTACCCAGTCGTTTTTCTCTTCTATTAACATTGTGTGACCATATTTTTTTCTCAAGCTGTGAGAACATTCCATGTACACCTGCAATTGTAGGTCACATTAATAGTTCATTCTAGTCTTGCAGATGTTAACTTTTTTTTTAAGAGGTACTAATCTTTATTTAATARGTACATGGTTTAGGCAGTGATACTTTATTAAATGGAAAATTTTGAACTGGAGAGTTRAAGAAGGATGTCTTTTTATTACTCTTTTWAATTTTTTCCTTAGTGTTACCTTTAAAACACATTCATCAAGCTGCAGTCTTTCTAGATTTGTATAATCATGTATTCATATTTTGCAGATTTCTTTATGAAAAATAGTGTTTAGAGAAGAAACAGATTTTAAAAAACATGCATGAAATATAGAAAGGCAAGCTGTGTGCTGTCTTTATTGTTTTTTTTTTAAAGTTACGGCCAATGAAATCAGAGAACTACTTTTTCTGATTCAGTAACTGTATTGCAAGACAGAAATGGATTAGAATTGTGTTTCTAAATAATCCTTTCATAGGCTGTATCTTCTGTGAACTCTCTCCCTGCAGCTGAACATGAATTCTGCCCCCACGTTCATTAACTTCCCAGCCAAGGGGAAGCCCAAGCGGGGGGACACCTACGAGCTGCAGGTGCGCGGCTTTGCGGCGGAGCAGCTGGCGCGSTGGGTGGCTGACAGGACAGACGTCCATGTGAGTACAGACACCTTCCCTCAGCACCCCTTGTGCAGGGCCAGCTGGGAAATGTCATCTGTCTTCTGTGGCTCCTCATCTGCTCTGAATAGCTCATCTACAAAATCTAGTTCAGACACACGACTGCATCTTTACATTTCCTTACAGTCTCTGGGCTGGTATTTTGTGTAATGCTGTATTTGAGAAGGTGGTAAACTCATCTCCTTTCTTCTCACTCTTTCTTAGAAGGAAAACAGTCTTTAAATTATTGAATAGGGTAAAGTTGTGTAAAACTGAAGTTATAGTATTGGTGGAAGAAACATTTCTTACTTCCCGAGTCAGATTTATTGTATAGAAAACCTGTGTGTGCCATATTTTTTTCACTCAATTATGTCGTGGGTTTTTATAGCAGGAGTGCAGGTATAATGTATAATCCTATTGAGAGAAAATAATTTCACTATCCTTTGTTCAGATCCGTGTGATAAGGCCACCAAACTATGCTGGCCCCTTGATGCTGGGGTTGCTGCTGGCTGTCATTGGAGGTCTCGTGTATTTGCGAGGCAGCAATCTGGATTTTCTCTATAACAAAACTGGCTGGGCCTTTGCTGCTCTGGTGAGTAATCATGACTCTTGTCTGCCTGTTGTATTGAGTTTTGTAGCAATTTAAGTTTTTGAAAGCTTCTGTATTTTAAGATTCTTAAAGCTGATAGAGGAAAAGGAGATGCAGTTAGTTTTACTTTTTGGTAGATTGATATGATCTTAGTCCTTTCAGCTCATTGGGTGCTTGAAAGCTCATTGAGATGCCTTTTGTATATAKGTAAAGTGGGACAATTCTTAGCCTGTGTTCCAAACCAATCACTTTGATAKGAAGTGAAAAGGTATCAGGTTAAATTAAAAAGAAAAAAAGAATGTTTACTGAATAGTGTTTCTTCTTTTCTTTTCAGTGTTTTGTGTTAGCAATGACATCAGGCCAGATGTGGAACCACATTAGAGGCCCTCCATATGCTCATAAGAATCCCCATACAGGACAAGTGGTGAGTCTTGTCTTTTACTGTCAGCCTTATTCTGCAGAAATACAGAAAATAAAATGAAGACAAGTCAGAGTGCAACTTCTGCTTTTCACWTCACTGTTTGTGAGTGAGACCAGCCTCTCCTGCAGTGARCAAGGCAAATCAACATGTGTTGTATCTCCAGTAGTAAAGGGATGTGATAGTTCTAAATTGCTTACAGCACAATAAAGGTGTTGATGTTGAGTCTTACATGCTAGAAGTCCCATTGCTGAGTGTGGTAATATTATCTTCAACCTGATCTTTTGAACTTATACATTCATGTAATGACTTCCATATAAAAACATCTTTCCTCGAGATGCTTGAGGTAAGTTATTATCTACTGACCTCAGATTTGAAGTTTTTTTTGGGAAGAATCTCTTTTTAACATGATTTGAAATATTCTACTCTGTTCATAATATAGAATGAGATGCACTGGGGAAGTACTCACAGTGGTCTGAGAGCATTGCATCTCCTTAGGTGCTTACACATCACATACTGGCTTTTCTCATGTTTTTACTCAGGGAATTAATTTGGTGAAATGTCCTTTCATGCCTGGTTAGATGAGTCAGGCCCTCTGTATTCTGTAGAAAATGGATCCAAGTTTTTTTTTTTTTCCCACTTAGAACAACATCACAACCATAACAGGATGTCCTATAGGGATTAAAAAATTGTGTTCTTTCACAAACTTCAATTTTTCTGTTAACCCAGATGTGAAAAAGATTTCAAATACTTGGTTCTGGAGCCATCTGAGTCAGGTTCACACACAGATTGATGGGATTTCCCCTAAGCTAAGCAGCAGTGTACACAACCTAAGGATCTCCATCAGGGAATGGATCAGATTTGTATCACATTTGGAAGCAGGAGGGCCTAACCTCATGGCCTAACCTCAGCCCAGCTGGACTGAGAATCTGGACCATGAAGGTTGTAGCTGCCCTTGTACTTACTGTAATCTGGATGGTATTTGGTAGAAAGAGGATCTTTGATTCTCTTGCGGCTCCCCCAAAAATCAGTGGTCAACTGCTGAAACTGTTTGTGCTTCAGCTGCTTTCTCCTAAAAAAAAAAAAAAAACAATGCAAACCCAGTTCCAGGCTGTATAGCTGTTGTTAATCATGTCAAAGTTGACTCCAGTCTTTTCTAAATTTAATTACTCTTTGTGTCTTACAGAATTATATCCATGGAAGCAGCCAAGCCCAGTTTGTGGCAGAAACACACATAGTTCTGCTGTTCAGTATCCTTCCTGTGAGAAGTATGTGGTTGGTGACAGTTTTTTGGTCAGCAAATGCTGCTGCCTTTTCTGTGGTGCTTTGTCATGGCTGTAATTGCCACCTAGCACTGATGCAGAAGCTTGTAAAACCTTTCTGCACTGACAACTGTGCTTTTCCTGTTCTTAAAGTTTAATAGAGAAACATTTACTGCTTTCTCATCTATTAACTACCAAACTGAATACAGCAYCAAAGATGTGGATCTTTGTGAAATCAGAAGATTTTTCAGGATACTCCCTGTTCCTCTGTGCATGTCTCTTTTCAATGTCACTTATTTCTTGCTTTGGTGCTGAATTCATTCCTCTGTTCCTGATCTTTTATTTCTTTGCTTACCTTCTTATAATCATRCCACTTGTTTGTGCTAATGATGCAGGATTTTGCCATGCTATCAAGAAAGGCAAGTGGAAGCTTTCAGATGGAGAGTTTTCATCTTTCTCATTTGTACAAAATTTTTTTCTTTGGGGTCATAGGAGTACCTTAAAAGTCAATGTTCTGCTTTTCTACTCCCATGTGTATGTTTTTGATCAATCATTTGTAAGTTTAGTAATTTCTGGCTGGAGCTTCTRTGTCTTGTCACCTGTATCAGCATTCCTTTATTTTTTATTCGGGACTTTTTCTTGTATGTAATTTTTAGAAATTAAAACGGGTGCTTGAGGGGGAACTTCTGATATTTTTCTATTACTGTATTTCCAATGCATGTGGTCTCTTTCAATGTAGAAACTTTTTGTTGGTGTTTATTTGTGTTACTGCTATCCATCACATTATGGACCCAACCTACCAGTTACTGGAGACATTTCAAATTTTTAAATATGGTGAGGTTTCTGTGGGTTGAAGTCACTTTTCTCCTGTGCTGAAGGTGAGCTGTGTCTGAAATGGAAAGATTTCCTKATGCAGTCAATGATTAGTATTTTTTCTTTCAGGAGGAGACATGGGACTGGACATCTGTAGTGAAATGGAATGAAATATTTGGGAATTMTGTCTTTTGTTCCCCTAGATTCATTATTTTGCTTTGCTAGGATTCATTCTTGGCAAATATCAGGTCTTTTGTGTTTGTGCTTTTTTAATTTTATGATCTTTAATTTCTTTTCCTATTGAAGAATTGGAAAAGAAATATTGCCCCTTGAARGACAGCCTGTTGGATTAAATACTGCTTGTCTTCTATTTGCTCTGTTGGCTGAGTGAATGCAGAAGCTGAATTCCTTTGGGGATTTTCCAGCGGGGTAGAGCAGCAGTAGGAGTGGACCAAACTCTGGGAAGGAATGCTGCTTCATTACAAGCTGAGATAATAAATGCATGTTTTTAATTTTGTCTGAAAACCTTTCAGCTTATATTTTTAGCTTTGCATTTATTTTCTCTTAGAAGTTGACATTATGAATGTCTTGCAGTGGTTTTTTTTCTCCCCATAGTTGCTGGTTTGGCTGGGAAAGGCTTTGATTTTTCCAGTGAGTTTTAATGCCCCAGGTATGGTGTGGGAGCTGAATTGAGATCAGTGAATGTGTTTTGAGTCCATTGTATTTTGTTGGTTTAGCCTTAAACAGCCTTTGTAGATGGTGGAGTTACTTTAGGAATGGTCCTTCTCCACGAAGCTGCTACTTCTGACATGGATGTGGGGAAAAGAAAAAGTGAGTACTGATACTCTCTCAAAGGCATATTCAGGAAGGGTGTTTGATACACTGTTTAACAGAAATGCTTTTCCACTGGGGGTTTTGGATGCCTCCCACCTCAAAGCCAAGGAGAATCATTTGGATTTCTGACAGTTTTTGGAGTTGCTTAGCAAACTGCAAGATCAGCTCAAACCTTTTTGGCACATGGAAAGAGATAAAGATGCTTTGCAACATTTTGCTATTAAGGGGGAGGACTTTTTTTTGCAAAGCATTTGTATAAATTGATGTGCAGAAGGAATTTGAAAGAAAATTAGTGTTCATTTAGTATTCCTCAATGACACTAATAGAGGCCTCATCTGACCAAATCTKTAAATAATGCAGAAGGCTTTGAAAGCCTGAGTCACTGTGGTGTTTTCTGTCACATTAGAGAATCTGACTCTGATCTCTTGCAGTTATGTGCATTGCTGGCATTGGCCTGGTGGTGCTGTTCTTCAGCTGGCTGCTGTCTGTCTTCAGATCCAAATACCATGGTTACCCCTACAGGTACGTCAGCCTGGGGCCCTGCAGCCCCTGCTCTCCTGGGCTTTGGGGTACAGCTAACCACTGTAGCTCTACTGGCTCATTTGGTAAGAAATACTCTTAAAAAATGCTCCATTGGTTTTTCAGAGTAGCAATATTGGTTGATAAAGTCTCCAGAAAAAACCAGTATTTTGTGGATATCAGGCCTTTTCAGTCTGGCTAAAGGAAAGATTGTGGAATTCTTCTTTTAATGCCATTACATATTGTAAAATATTTCTATTTTCATAATGATAGCTAGTTTATGCTGCCAACAAATTAGTTTTYCCCCCTACTTTTCTCTCCTGCTTGTTCATATATCTTCATTATTAATCCTTATTTGTGAAAACAGTGARGATGGCTGATGCCTTAAAGCTGTCTACATTTTGGGATTGCTTGTGTAAAGAGTCCAATACTAGTAGCTGACCACTTTATATATATGTGTGGCTGAGCCATATATCTTAGCTGTGTCTAATAGCTTTTATGCATTTTGAAGCAATAAATAAATAAATGTTGAAGGACCAGTTTCTAACAATTTTACCATCTGAAATGAGCTTAATTTGTCTGTAAAGCTAATCCAATAGACAGATATTATGCCCTCTCTGTGAGAAATATGTTCTTATTTAAAAATACATAAGTAATAAAACTTGTTATTTTATGGAGACTTTCCTCAAGAGCAGAAGACAGCTGAATTTAYCCTGTGTTTGGTAACTGGTCAGCTTTTATTCTGATCTCTTGGAATGATCTTAGGTACTGCTGATTTTATCGCGGGGAAGATGTGGTTGTCTTTGATTTTGAGTTACTAGAAACTCAATTTTAAGTGACTTCACAGCTGCTTTTGCTGTAGCTGCATCAGGCCCAGTTTTCATTGTGGTTTTCTTGGCATTTATAACAGCTCAGTGGAATGTTGCACACCTTTGTTTCTTACAAAATGAATAATAACGTTTGTTATTTTCTTCTTTGCAGTTTCCTAATGAGTTAAAGGATTCCAGAGTCTGTAACATCGGGAAGGTGGTGGCTCTGAAGCTGGATGTGGTRGAATGAGGAGCTCAATGTTTGTGGTTCGTGCTACCTCTGCTTACACTGACCGAGACAGTTAAACACTGAACCAAAGACGACGTGTAGTGCCTTAAATAAAACAAGCAATTTGCTCTGAAGGACGCAGAGTATTAAGATGCAATCTCTCTTTCACAAGCTTTACATCTTCTTAAGCAACTCTGCTTCTAGCAAAATTCAGAATGTAATGCTTCAAACTCCATTTCCATGGACTAACTAGAAACGGTACATTCAGTTCACTTGGATAATCTGTCTACCATGTTTCTTTCYCCCTTGAATTATCACCTTATTTCCTATTTGTGCATAGCAGGTGACAGCAGCTTTTCTGTCRTGCCTTTTCATGGTCGAGAAAACCGCTTCATGTACCTGGAAATCTTTTCCTTCAGCCTGTGTGCAGCCCTTGGAGCATGCTCCAGATTCTGGTGTGGAATGTGTGTATCCCAGAGCTGCATCTCATTTTTGAGAAGAGTTCTTAACTGCTGTAAGATGAAGGGGGAGTTTTCAACATGTAGAACCAAGTTATTAATTAATTAATCTTTCTTTGCCAAATGCTGAAACTGCAACGTTTAAGTTGCAAACTGACTCAGAGATGAAAAAAAAGTTAGACTGGCCAACACTCACACTCAAAATTACAACCCGAAAGTACAAAGGTAACTATCTATGTGTTGCATGAATTTAAAGTTGCTAATTGGCTTTCAAGCTACTGCCTGAAGTCCTGGCAAACCAACAGATACCAGATTTCAGGTCACTATATAAGTTCTTGCATTCTCCACTTATTTTCTCCATGCTTTTATCCTTTGGGCAGAGATGTCTACTCCCAGGACAAATGTTACCCCAGGACACATTTTATAGCCATACAATTGAATGCATGTGCTGCTTGCTCTCTCCTTTTGTCTTCTCACCTCACAAAGATACTTTGCCTTAAAAATTCCTGAGTGGAAGACATTGTGCCTCAGCCCAAACTGTTGTGCAGTTCAGCAGTTGTGCTACAGGAAATCCTTGCAGCCTGATTCAGTAACACTTCCTTCCGTAGGCTGTGGTGGCCTTAAGRTTCATAGTCAAGAGAGACTTTTGTCTCCTGCTTCTGCCTCTCCCCTGTCACAAGGGGTTACAGAATCTGGATGGTTTAGATTGAATCTCAGAAAGGATTGTGTCACTCCAAGTAGAATGTTATTCTTATGCAGTTTTGCTAAATTAATATACATCTCAAGTGCCTTAACTTGACTAATTTAGTTGTTTGATGTTTCAACTTGTTGAGATGCATTTTTCTATGCCATACAGAATGATAAGCCTTAGTGGAATGGATAAATTGTGTGCCTGACTGGATTTTGGACAAGTTTCAATAAAACTTTTTAGTCTCATCCATGCTCCTGTGTCTTTTGAACTTTGACATGAAACAAGCCAACATCTTTTCTTCCACTATTGCTTCAATGTGTTAATTATAGCCTGTCTTCAGACATGAGAATGGGTGAGTAGATTGGATTAGTAGCCTGTATGTGTTTATGTGGAGAATTACAGCCCAGAATGTCAGCACTAAGCACTAGAGAGCTGCTCATCTAGCCAACTGAAAGTATAAAGATTCATGGTTTTGACTTGTTTTTGACAGCTGTCATGCAGTGAAAATCTTGGATTCTTGGAGWTCTAGACAGATCAACTCACTGTGTTTCTGGAGGTGGAATCTTGTTAGCACTGTGGATTTGCCTGGAACAGCTCAGCACTGCTGTACTTGTGGTTTGTTTTCCTGCCCAGTTGGTAAAATGTTTCCCATAAACTTTTTCAATTATAACGTATTCTGTCCCTCTAAAGCCATCCAGTCACATATTGACTAAGTTTAAACAGTGGGACATCATGCAGGTGAATGGTGGAATCATGTTTCCTTTCCACTTGAGGTGGCCAAGATGCTGAGAGTTTGGAGAGTTCTAGATTTTCCTTTTTTTTTTTCCTGTGCTGACATATGAGTTAAAAATAATGCTCCTTTTTTCCAACAGTTTTACTGCTCTCTAGGCTGAAACTAAAGTGCATGGAGGAGGGAACAGGTGTGGTAGTGGAGCAGAAGATCCACTGCTTGCAAGGCCCAGTGGCAGGTTTAGAGAGGATGAATTCTGGCAAGGTTTGACTTGTGCAGCAGTTGAGAGGTAATGCTGGCTCTAATTGGTACCCAGGGTGGCTCTTTGGGACAGGGCACTGGCAGCTCATTGACTGGTTAATGTAACACAGTCAGGGCCAGCAGAACAAAGGTGGACAAGGCAGTGCATTYGAGACCTGCTGTGGGCAATCTGGGAATTGCTGAGGTCATCTCCTTTGGAAAGTGAATCATTAAATAGCTCATGAGTGCCCTAAAAGCTCACCTTGAGAGAATACTTGCAATAAAGGGAGGAAATGGTATATTCTGCAGCTGAAAATGGGCTGTGTGGTTTTGTTAATGTGGCTGGCCTCAGTGACTGCTGCTTTTTTCTGCTTTTGAGAAGGAGCTGTGGTGTATTTAGAAGATATTTTGGAATAACAGCTAGAAATTAGGGAGCTCTGTGCACAAAGCACAAGGCAAGATTGTAAATTTAAATGGATTAATGTATGTAATAGTTTGTGTTATGTACAATTTACTGGAAACTCCTGCCTTCAAATCATTCTAATGTTCAGAATCACAGAATGTGATTTTCATGAGGCCCTGGCACAGATTTCCCAGAGAAGMTGTGGCTGCCCCTGGAAGTGTCCAAAACCAGGCTGGGTGGGGCTTGAAGCAACCTGGAATAGTGGAAGGTGTCCCTGCCTGTGGCAGGAATGAGCTTTAATGTCCCTTCCACCCCAAACCATTCTGGGGTTCTGTGATGGTGGTGCCTAGTGGTCATTCCCGCAGTYAGGCCTTTTACAGATGCCCCATGAGCATGTGGGCTTGAGGGGCAGAACTGCCTGGTCCTCCAGCATCCTTCCAGATGAAAGATGTGCCCAGTCTGCATCTGCTGAAATAACCTTAATTAATCCACTGGCTGGTGATGGCCATGAGGTTAAGATTCAGCCCTGAAGGTAAGAACAAATTCAGTCTCTTGGCAGGCAAGAGACTGCCAGAGATGGGGTGGCCATTCATGCTTGGGGAATATGATGMTGTAGATGCTTTTATGGTCACAACCACTGGAAGAGAAAGTACAGCAAGGCTTCTTCTGTGCCTTCTTCAAAATGTGTAAAATCATAGGGATTTTTTTTTGTTTCCTGACAAAGCAAAGTTGGAGTTTTAGAAGTACTGAAGGAAGTCAATTGCTTAACTTTCAAAACATTTGGATTTCATCTGGTGTGAGAAGTAATTCTCACAAAGGATTTGAAACAGTATTGGCACTTGGTTTCTGTGTTGGACCCTGGTGTTTGCTGCTTTCTCATGCTGACAAAGTCTCATTTTGAACTACAAACCACTACTCAACTGACTCCACACCATCCCTTTGAACTTTCCTAAGGGAAGTAGAGCAACAGCAACACAAAGAACAAACCCAGGCCCTCAAGTGAGCATCATCTGTTCTCAGTTTTATCGTGCTTTTTGCCTGAGAAATCGAGTGAGCTTCATTGCACATAACCTGTTCCAMTTACCAGCTCAGATCTTGATCATTCCTACAGAATTAATTTAAGCATAGCGTTTTATTGGTCTGGATTAATTGTGCTACTTTTATCACAGATAATRTGAAAGAGATGTATATGTAGTTTGTATTTCTAGGTCAGGAGCACATCAAGTTATTAAAATATCCTCTTGTCGATTGATAGTTATACATGTCTTTCAGCCATGTTCCTTAAAAGTAGGGTAATAGGTACTTAAGAAAACCAATTGCTGTCATTATGAAGAGAAACAATGGGTGTGATGAGACTCTGCAGTGACCCTTGTTTGTCCTGAACCCTGACTCTCCCAAGGCTGCTGGAGAAGGGGGAAGGGGTCCTGTGTGCTGGGGAAACTGAGCTGGGTGCGGGTCTGGTGGATGTGCAAAACRTTTCCCTGCAGATGCACTCAGTGTCTCTGCCCAGATTTCAGTGTGCTCTTCCAATCTGTTTTTTTTTGACAACCTCGTGATAATGTCAAGTTTTGTCTTCTGGAGTAATTGCTGGGAGATRGAAGCATTTCCATTTTTACTTTATCTCGACCTTTTCTCATAGGATTCCTTTTTCATGTGTGACTTCAGATATAAGTTATGAACTGGAGGCAATTAAATTTGGGGTTTTAAACTGCTTTCAAATACCTTCCCCAAGGAAATAGTGAAAGAATTTTACAAAGCAATAGTAATAAATCTATCTATGTTATTCTAAATCAGTTGGATATTAGTCAGTAATGCTGACTAAATMTCTTGAAGAGGAAAATGAATGTTTTGTGTTCTTATTTTAATCACACAGTTGGAATCCTAATGCAGAGCTAAGACTGGGTAATGCTTCCGGTTTCCTTCATCTCACTGGTGGCAAGAACCTAGAATGGCTTTTTGTAATTTTTAATGGAATTTGTAGCAGTCAAAATGTGGATTTTTTTTCTCCCTTCTAAAATCGAGTGAGAAGGCAGGTGATGCTTTGGTCTTTTCCAAATGTGGCATTAGCCATGGTAACAAAGCTGCTGCTGAATCTGGACTTATTAAATTCAGCAGATTCAAGGTGCAGCTCTTGGGTAAAATGTTACATTCTAAAGCAAATYGTATTTAGACCTGTTTGTAGGATTTCCCTGGAAAGTATAAGCTCCGATGTGCTCAAGTGTGAAAGTGCTGTTGCTTCTATTATCACAGAATGAMATGGGTGTTAGGGGTGATTTGCTTGGGTATTTTCTCATGTTTCATGCATTGTTTTATGAAACCAGGTGAGTTGGTCAGTTTTATTTTTTCCTTCATTTCTGCAGAAAAAAATACTAATTTTCAAAACTTGTTTTCTTTTAATAGCAAGTGAATAATACTTGTCACCTGTTTCAGATCCTGTGTGGTACYGGGCTTGGCTTTGGTGGTTCATTGTGTTTTGGTCCTGTGTGGATATGGAAGCTCACACACAACCCCAGCCAGCAGAGTTCAGTCATCTTTTCACAAAAGCCTGTAACAACTTCCCCTTGAATAGGGTTGTATTCCAATCCTCCTCCTTTCACAACACTTTAACATCTGACGGAGTGGAGAAGCTGCTAGTACCAGCAGGAAGAATTGTCTTGGCATACTTAGGTGTAATGCCAATTTCCTTATATAAAGAACTTTCTATTTAAAAAAAGAAGTTGTAACCAAGCTGGGCKGAAGCTGCCCTGAGCAGGGTTACCTGGGGATGCTCACACTCAACTTCTGTGTCGCTTACATTATCCCTGTCTTGCTGTCTTTGTACTTGGGAAACGCTCCTCCCAAGCTTGCTTCTGTGTTTGTGTCCTGGTGGGCTTGGAGTCCCAGGGCTGGTGATCCCCATGGAGGAGGAGGGTCATGCTGGTGATCTCTGAAGAGGCTGAGGATCATTCTTGTGATGCCCATGGAAAAGAAGGATCACTCTGGTGATCCTGTTGAA